GATCTTTTCAGAAGTATTTAGTTACTGCAAAATAAATCTAAAAGCTTAGAAGAAAAGAGTTTTTATTATATAATAATCATACTTTGAAACATTCAATGGATTTTCAAAAGGTTCTAACAAGTTAATTTCAATAAAATAATACTAAACTTAAATTCACACCCACTAAACCTAGATAACATTTAATAATTTATTTTAATTATCATTCTTTTAAAAATTAACTGATTTATATAATTAAAACAGTCAAAAATTATATATATTTTTATATATATTAAAATCGATTCTTTCTCTCCGTGCATAGCCGAGAGTCAGAGTAGCTTCAGGTTGGTTTCCAGCCACTGCCAGTAGCCAACTTTGATAAGAATCGCGTTGGCTAATTAAAAGCGACCACCAGGCGTATGAGCAATCGGCAGACAGACAGCCAGCCAGCCAGAAGAGTGTGCCCAAAGTGATTTATGTGAATTCACTTTTGATTTGAACCTCAGCTGAGCTCTTCGAGCGAGTTCAAGTACACGTAGACAACAATTTTTTGTTATATTTATTTTTTTCGCCGAAGGCAAAGCGCACAAGAAGCCAATTGCCCAAAAGCACTTGCCATTCCACCAAAAAAAATCCATCCAACCGAAGCCATCTATACCCAGTGATGCGAAAGGTACATTTTATTACGTAATATAATGAAAATATGAAATTATTACTCTCCAAATAGCTTAATTAAACTTAGTTTTGATAACAAAAAATAAATAATAAATTCATTATTTTTGTTATGTTAATTTATACATCTTCTTAAAATGTATAAAATTATTTTGTAGACCAGGCTATAATAGGTTTGAAAAATTTACATAAATACCTAGAAGTACTCCAACATACCCAGCAGTCCCACGGCCACGGATCTACCCTTAATGATAGCGTTCTGCTACTGTAAAGTGTTCACTGGCTCATTGATTACGCTTCGGCCAGAAATCAATCAACAAGGCAAACAGTAACAAAAGGCATTAGATCTGACCTTCCTTGGAATCGAAATTTTATGTGCGCGAACTTGAGACATTGGACGTAATTACTGTCAAAGCCGGAATCCGCAACGGAATTGAAATTCGCGACAAAGTGCCTCGAAAAAGTTTAACGACTCGCGCCAATTTGTGGGCACAATTAGGCTTAACAAGTGGAGCAATGGGTCCCTGTACATGGATTTGTTTTGCAGAGATAAGCCAGGCAGTAAATGGCACGTTTTTGGATTAATTGTATTAATTGTAGCAAAAGCTAGCCCGAGGGCTTCAATCGGAACACGATTTGGTTAATTAAAGTCACCAAGCGCTTGAGGGAAGAGTGTAATAAATTTAAGAATGTTAAGCTTTAAATTCAGATTCTGTGTTCGGTTCACTTAAAGCCACACGATTTATCTTTACTTCGGAAACATAAATTTCTTGAAAGAATCCAAAAGAACGTCCGAATTAAATAAATGAGTTCAACTTTTTAATGAACCACAGAAGTAAAAGGCAAACTTGGAGGAGCTAATATATTAATGTAGGATTTAAATGTAAAACTGAGGTCAAACACGTGTAACTAAATTTCAAAATAAATAGAGACAACTTTCATTGCAACTTTTATGAAATCTATTTTAATTCTTAATCTGTATTTTGTATTTATTTTAAAAGTTCATTCAAATAAAGCAAATACAATACAATAAACTACAATAAAATAAACATCAAAGTCTATAGTATCCTCATATTTTATAATGCCCTAATGTAAAATGTCATAAATTCTTTTTATGTTCTTTCAAGTTGCCAATTTTAAAATAACAATTTTAACGGCTTCTTTTTGATAAAGTCTGGCAACATTGGCTATTGACCAAAGTGAATGGCAACTCTAGAAGAAAAAAGAAAACGGCTAAATAGCTACTTTTATTATTTTATAAGATATATACCATAGGATTGACCTTAAACTGTATTTATCATCTATACTTTTAATATGTATAATTGTTCCAAAGGTGGCAGCACCACCGATCCTATCGATAGAAATATCGATGCTGGACAATATCTTACTCTTTCTAAAAACGTCAATACTATCGATAGTGACATTACCTATTGTCTTAATTTTTTATTGTTACCTTCGGAGTGCTACAATAAATTCGGTTAATTTAATGCAATAGTCGCAATAAGGCCCTAAATTGTCAACCACAGTGCGATAATGCCGGCGGTCGAGGAGACACAAATCACAACGTATCTCTCAAAGGTGAGGCCCCCGCAGATGAGTCATAGCCCCATTCTCTGGGATTTGCCTTTTTCATTGTCCGGATTCTATTGCACGCAACGCAATTGACCAAATAAATTAATTATTTATCCATTTTAGTACAAATATGTGGGAGCCACTAAGAAGGATGTTATGGATGTGATCACGACATACCGCAGCTTGACCTACGACCTGCAGACGTTTAGTAAGTAGCAGCTCCCAGGTTGAAAGCCAAGATAACCCTCAACGAACTTTTTATTTCCAGTTTTCAACGATGGCAACTCCAAGAAGTTGTTCACCCTCCAGGGCACTATTCCCGTGGTCTATAAAAGTAAGTACAGCAACCTATAAGACCTCACATTTGTTTATATTGTGATGTAAACGTTTTTTCTTTGTATCTCAGATAACACCTACTACATTCCCATTTGTATATGGCTGATGGACACACATCCTCAGAATGCGCCTATGTGCTTCGTTAGGCCCACGCCCACAATGCAGATAAAGGTGTCCATGTACGTGGATCACAATGGCAAGGTCTACTTGCCGTACCTGCACGACTGGCAGCCGAACTCCTCCGACCTACTGTCGCTAATCCAAGTGATGATCGTCACCTTCGGCGACCATCCGCCAGTCTACTCAAAGCCGAAGGAGCAAATTTCATCGCCATATCCGCCGAACTGTGAGTATTCTGAATGAATTTTCAGAGTTTTCCATTTTCACATAATCTTATCTTAATCGAAAACAATGGTTATTCCGTTTGTTTGGTTGTCTTATCAGTATCTTCTAAAGCTTCCCTGATAACCTTTTACCTGTTTTATTTATTTTTTAGCTTTCATGCCACAGTCGGGAGGACCGAGCGGCAGTAACTCGGCTTTGCCATATCCCACAGCCGGTGGCAATTTTCCGCCGTATCCCACTGGCTCCGGTTTCGGACCCTATCCGCCTGGAGGCGGTGGTTTCCCTGGGCCAGCAGCCGGACCCTATCCGCCCTACATGAATTTCCCGCAGCCAGGCGGGGGTAGTGGTGGCTACCCACCAGCTGGGGGCTATGTAAGATTCCATCATCGATCAACAAAATCTTTAAAAGCAAGCTAAATGTCTGTCTAAATGTCCCATAGAACCCCTCATCCAATGCTAGTTCCACGGGAACCATTACCGAGGAACACATCAAAGCATCACTGATCAGTGCTGTAGAGGATAAACTGCGCCGTCGCATCCAGGAGAAGGTTAATCAGTATCAGGCCGAAATCGAAACGCTTAACCGCACCAAACAAGAGCTAGTTGAGGGCAGCGCGAAGATTGATGCCATTATTTCGCGCCTCGAGCGCGAACATGTAGACTTGCAGAAGAACATCAGTGTGCTGAAGGACAAAGAGCAGGAGCTGGAAAAGAGCCTGGAGGCGCTGGAGAACGCCGAGGCCATTGATCCGGACGAGGCAGTGACCACCACAGCGCCGCTATACCGACAGTGAGTAGTGATTTCTAAACGGGATGTCTAAAAAAGAGATATAATCTCTTATCTACCCTCACAGATTACTCAATGCCTATGCCGACGAGGCTGCCACCGAGGATGCAATCTATTACCTGGGCGAGGGCCTGCGCGGCGGTGTCATCGACCTGGAGACCTTCCTCAAGCACGTTCGCCAGCTGTCCCGCAAGCAGTTTATCCTGCGGGCCACCATGCAGAAGTGCAGACAGAAGGCCGGACTGGCCGGATAAGAATGTCGCATGGCTGGCCGTGATCTCTTATTGGATTGCGGGGGAAAGATTGTGCACGTGTAGACGATTAATATGTTAGCGTTAATACATATATTCGACATTGTTTTAAGCTCAAAATTGAATCTTTGAAATTGAAATTACAATAAACGTAAAGAAAGAGAAGGCCTCATGTTGTACGTTTACGCCCACGGACTGCTTTTATGTTTATTTTATACGCGGAATGGTGATGATTAGCCTTAATTTCATACATAAATACCGACGGTTAGGAGCAGGAACACGATGCCAAAGCCCAAGAATATGGACGCACACAGGCTAATCAGCAGTTCCTTGATGAGTGAACTCTCCTTGGAGTTATCCTTCAGGTTCTTCCGCGACACCACGATGATGAAGAACCAAGCGGTGAAGAAAGTGCCGATGACCAAGAGCACGGTCGCAAGGTGGGGGAAAACGGCCGGGTTCACGGGCGAAACGTAGCGAGTCATCGTATCCATGCTGTATATCCCGTAAGTAGTTAGAGTTGCAATTAATTCAACAGATTATATGCCAACTTACATTGTTCTTTAGTTTCTATTAAATCTTGTTATTTTTTGTAGCAAATTGTACGTGGCCCGGCAGCTAGAGTTGCCTTTCTCCGAATCGCAATCGGTGGACACCCACTATCGATAACGATGTTAGTCACGAGGAATCAAAATGAACATTTTAAATTGAACTATTTACAACAAATATTCAAATACTTTATAAATTAAAAATAAATGTTTTTAATGTTAAATTACACATATATAAATAAAATCTATAAAGTCGTCCTTCCTTGTAATAAAATTACTTTCACTAGATAAATGTATTTTATTTGCTTCTTAGCTTACTCCCTATAATTTTAATAGGCCTTGAACAAATCTAAATTTAAATTAATTTAAAAATTAAATTAAAAATAAAAACTAACGAGAATTATTATTATAAACGATTTTTAAAATATAGCTTTTTTGTGCTATCGATAGTTATCAAAACTATCAGCTGCCTCGATAGTCGTTCAGCTCGACGTCGATAGTACCACCTCTAGTACTCTTCCATCAACGTGCTCTCTTTTCTCAAAAAACATATAATTATCAATGCGCAAGAAAAACGAAAGAAAAAACAAAGGAAAACAAAGACGCATACGATGGCCGATGTGGGTAGTTTCCATAGAACACTTGAGACAATCATAACATCTATTCCTCGATCTCCTGCAGCTGGAAGAACTGGATAGCGAACGCCTGAACGAGATAGAATCGATTCTCTACGCCTCGATCCACTACAGCGATGGAGCTGCCGAGCAAGGTGTTGCGGATCAGCTGATGCTGGAAAAACAGCCAGCCAGCGACCAGGATGCGGACGCCAGAAGCATGCCACCGCCTTCGATGCATAAGCAAAGGAGTAACCCGCCACCAGGTCAGCAGTCATCCCAGCGTTTCGTCTCAGAAACGCGGGTGATCAACAATCAGGGACGGCAGAAGCCTCGCTACTGGATGGAGGGAGTGGAGGGGCAGGTGAAAGAGCCAGAGGAGGAGCAGCGTGCGATACCAAACAAATCAAACACAGGTGAGTAATAAAATTTAATCAGTAGGGGTGGCTTTATAGGCTTGTACATATGTACATGGTATAAATGCGCGATTATATGTATATTTAAATCGCAGTTTAATTTATTTTCAATACAATTGCTTTTCCTGTTTTTTTTTATCTTACTCTAGTGTTTTTTGGGTCGATTTATTTAGTCAGTTTATGCTGTCGGGCTCCGATCCTCAAGTTCGATGGTTTTACGCTCAACTGCACCTAGGTTGAATCCTACCTTTTCCTAACAATCAACCTGTCTTTTGGAGTTGAACTTTCGATTCTACCCCTTTCAAAAAACATTTTTTGGCTTTCCTTCAAAATTATCTCTATCCCCCGACGATGACCTGCTTAATGAGACATTTGTCAGACCGCCTACAGGCGCTTATTGGGTGGTTAAGTCAACTCAACCACTATACCCTGGCACTGGCCACCGTGGACCTTATTTGCATCGTGTGCTTGCTTCACTGCAAGCTTGTGTGGCACGGCAGTGATCTTTTCTTTTGGTGTGAGGAGTTGAACAGGCGACTTGTCGAGTACGTGCTCTCAGCCATTGTGCTGATTGCCACCGTGCACGTGGTGGGCTCCTGTGTGGATGCCATTATCATCTCAGCCTTGGTCCATCGAGAGATGAATCGGCACAATATGCCACGGCAGCATTTCGAGGAGCGCTACCGAAGGTTCGTGTTTATGCGGTTGGTCGGGCGCCTGGAGCAGGCTCTCAAGGTGCAGCAGACGAAGCAGTCGGAGGAGGGCCTGAACATGGTGCCTCTGGCAAACCTATCGGAGGCTCAGCAGCTAATCAGAGGGGCGATCGACGAATTTCGCACAGCGGTGCGGGTTCTGCTGTGGCCGAATAGATCGGATCTGCAGGCAGAGGCCTTTGTCATTTATCACATCAGCGAGGATCAGCTGGCGCAGCTGGTCGATCAAGGCTACAGCCTGGGTGATGTGAACGTTCAGGATATGGTCAATGCGCGTCTAAGTCATTTGCTGAACCCACCCTGCTATTAAAGTGTCCCCAAATTCATTTGAAAATGTATGAGCAGTCTAGTGGTGGGAAGACTAGCGGGGGCACCTCTTTTCATAACCACTGGATATCCTTGAACGTAGCAAACTTCTGGGTTTTATAATTTTTGAATTGTTAGCCTAAGGAGTTACATTGGAACTACTTGTTTCACAAGTCGGCAACGTTGGAGAAGTAGGCGTGGCAGAATCAGCAGCAAGGACCGCGGTTACGAGAGCCATCAAACCGAAGAGGAGGTTAAATTGGAAAGGCATCTTCAGATCTCTGTCTCTGTGGCGTGTCACTACTAAATTACTATAAAAGTTTTGGGTTTTACTTTGGTATTTATAGGAAAAAGTTTATACGTTTTTGATAATTGCTGAATATGTGTTTCCATTATTTCCCACGTAGAAGGTGCAATAAGATGATCTGCTGTGAAAGATCTATAACTATTGTCATTGTATTTCTTATTCAACAATAGGAAATTCGTAGATTTGTTTATTTTCTTCCGTAAAAAATAACCAAAAGTGCAAACACATACAACTTTTGTACTGATTATAGCCGAAGGTATTGTGTTTTGGACTTTTCGCTTACATGCAAGTACATGTTGGAATAATCTAAACAAATAAGGGGGATTTGTCTTAGGAGCTTAGTTTCTTTCAGGATGCTTAGGGGAATTATCTATACTCTATAGATATTTCCGTTATGATCTTTAAAGCTGAATTCTGAGTGTTATTGTTTGTTTAAACAAATATAAATAAATACATACCCATTATTCTTTGTACATAAATATTATATATATTTATGAAAATTCTCTTACGTATTCTTCTTTAAAAATATATGTATATTAATTATCAAGATGAAGCTCTTTAATATAATTTCCTATTTTTCCTGCAGCTCCTGAAAATCCACCCGCTGAGAAAAGCCCACCTCTTTCGCCGAAAAATGGGGAAACGTCCAGCCAACCTAAAGCCCCAAACCATTCTCCAAAGCAGCAGCAGCAAAATGCACAATCAAAACAACATCAAAACCCACAAACCAATAAAAAGCAGCAAAATCAGGCTCAAAAGCAGCAGCAGCAGAGCCCACATCAAAAACAGCAACCGAAGCCGCAACAAAATCAACAACAGAAGCAGCAACAAAATAATCAAAAGCCAAAGCAGAATCAGAATCAACAGACAAAACAGGAGCAGAAGTATAAACCTTCGCCTCAGCAGTCGCCAGGAGTACAAAAGCCCAAAGGTCAGGCAATCAACACTGCCACCAAAGTAAACCAAGAAGCCTACGAGGAGGAGCGCTTTGACCAGCGGCTCCTGGTGGCCATCCCACCGAACTGCTCGCCCAAAAAGCAAAATAAACCGCAGCAGCAGCAGCAGGGCAAGCAACAGAACAAACAACAGCAGAATAAACAGCAACAGCAGCAAACAGGTCCTGGTCCCTTTGGCAAGGCCAATCGGAAGCTGGAGCAGATGCAGCGTTTGGCGGCCAAAAAGCAGAAATCAAAGCAGGCCCAGGCAAATAAGAAGCAACGCAAGCAGCTCAACGCAGCACCGGTGGAATTTGTGGATTTGGCGGAGAGTGACATTAGCAATTCCTCCGATGATGTTGTGATTGTACCCTTACCGCCAGTACCTATCATTGATCTAGATGCCAGCGACAACGAGCAGCCTAGCACAAGTTCAGCTGCAGCTGCAGCAGCGACAGCCTCTGAGGTGTATCATGAGGAGAATGCCATGGATGCGGCGGATGTAAGGCTGGGCTTGTCGTGCATTACTGAACCCGAAGTGGGAGCGGTTACCGGTATTGTGCCACCCTCTATGCAGTCGCCTTGCAGTTCGGTCATGTCCAGCGATGACTTTATAGTCCAGAAGGACACCTGCCGACTGCAGGCCGAAAGAGAGAAGGCCAATGACGATGACCTGCTGGTGCTTACCGAGAATGCCATCAGGGAGGCTGAGATCGATCAGGAAAATCAGGCAAACATTGTGGAGGAGGCGGCAGCCGATCCGGAGACAAACCTTCAAGCACAAGATACCTCCTCGGAATACGAATTTATTCCGCCTTCTCGCCTTGATGAGATCAAACAGAACTATCGCGTGGACGACGAGCAGCAATTCAGGGCCCTGGACGTGTACGAGAGCGAATCCGATCTCACCGAGAGTGGCATCTATTCGAAGGCCAAACCCAAAGTAACGCCAACGATTATACGTAACGTAGACTCGCCCTCCGACAGCTCCGCGTCCGTGGAGGAGGTGGTGGAGCCCAGCGTACATAAGACGAAGCGTCTGCGCAAGCGTTCCTTTTCGGCCAACAACCACAGCCAGTCGGAGTCTGCAAACAACGAGGACGGCGGAAATGATTCAGATAGCGACGACGGTGTCCATTCCACCGGTGTACCGGGCATTGCCCGTGGTATGGCCGTAGAGCGGTGCAAGCGCAAAATTCGCAGAATCAGCACCAGGCGCAGCTCCGAGGAGAATCCGAAGAAGGCGGCTCGAACTAAAAAGCCAATGCTATCGCCTAGCCAGGAGGCCAGCTCCGAGTCCGTTCCGGAGGAAGAACTGCCGAGTGCCCGGGAAATTGCGGAAAGACTGTTGAAGCAGGAGCAGGAACTGGTCAGGGAGCAGCCATCTAGTAGTGACGCCCTCGAAACCGTTTCCATTGGCTCCGATGCGGGCTCCCAGGGCGAGGCAGAGTTTCAGGATGCCATGACTGATCGCATAGCGGCTGTGTTTGAGCGCATCGAAGCTCAAACCCGGAAACCAGCCTCTAATGACGAGGAACAGGATGCCAGCGGCTACATTTCCGACGAAGAAGAAGATTCTCGGGACAAAATCGTAGACAGCACTGTGGAGGAGACTATGAAAACCTCCAACGAGCTGCAGGAGGCTGATCCCGATGAGAACGATGAGGATGTGACAATGGAAGAGCCACAGATCCAAGTGGAGCGCAATTTGCCAGGCCTTACAGATGACGACAGTTTGCCAAGTGGCGGGCAACTCATTGGCTGGAACGAAGAGATGCGCCGCTTCTACGACGACAGTTGGAATGGCGAGCACTTCTCCGTCCACAAGTTGCACAGGTCCATGAGCGGTGAGTGCAGGGGAGATTTACCAAGAAAACTTATTGATATATTTTCCTTATATTTAGCTCATCGGCAGGAATGGAAAATTAACAATGCGGATCGATATCCGGTGATGCGACCCCGTTCCCATGCCAAGTGCAACAATTGCGCCGAGATGGGTCATGTACGGTCCAAGTGTCCTCGTCCGAGGAAGCCGCTCATCTGTTTCATGTGCGGCATTGTTGGACATGCCGAGCCGCGCTGTCCCAATGCCATCTGTTTTGGGGTAAGTAAAGGAAATTAGTTAAAATTATAATATATAATCATTTCCCATGATTACTCTTATCCTTTTGTAGTGCGGCTCAAAGCAGGCCATCTATGTGCAGCAGTGCAACAAATGCTCCTTCCACAGTCGCCTGGTCTGTCAGCTATGCAAGATGAGGGGCCATGGCACGGATCAGTGCCCGGACAAGTGGCGTCGCTATCACTCCACGGTAATAAAAACATATTTCCTGTAACTCTGAGGCTGTACATCTAATGCTCTCTTCCCGATTCCTCAACAGACTCGATCCAACGCGGAACTGGATAGCCATGTACAGTACAAGATGAAACAATGCAGCTTCTGCGCCGGACGTGGCCATCTCTTCGAGAATTGTCGCCAGCGCATTGGCGACTTTCGTAGCAACAACTACACGAGTCAGATTGTATCGCACCAGAAGATCTACATGGATCGCAGTGGACCCCTAGGCGATCTCAGCGATCTGGGTAGCTTTTATGCTTTAGAGACTCCATTTTACTTCAAGTGGAGCATCTCAAAAATGCCCAAGAATAGCTACTATTCTCGGTTCCTTATCAAAGCGGCTTTGGCCAGGCCCCAGTCGGTCAAGCGAAAGTCGAGCACAGCTCTGACAGAGATGCCAGCGAAGGTATATTTTGCCCATGACTACGTGCCCAACGCTCAGGCGAAGGCGGCTCTAGGTGAGGTCCCTGCTTCCGCAGTGGAATCAGCTGACAAGGAAAAGGAAAATCCAGTCCTTGGTGAGGAGGAACCCAATATGGAAGCACCTGTAGAGAATGAAGCTGCACAGGATGCACCCTTAGAGGCTGAAGCGCCGGCTGACACGGACGAAGCCCCTTCCATTCAACGTGAGGAAATCACCAGCAATTCTCAGACTCAAGAAGCTGAGGAAACGATAACAGCTAGGCCACCTGTGGCATCCCATGAGCTCGACTCGGACTCAAATTACAGTTTCTCCGAGCACTTTGAGGTCCCCAGCTCCACGACCACCGAGGATAAAGGAGATAGTCTACCCTCCGACCATCCATTGGCCAATCTACCGGATGTCATACCCCTGAGTACATCCCTCGACGACGATTTCGAGGTATCCTCCAACAGCCGGGGCATCTCTATGTGCGTGAATGCCAGCAGCAGTGGCAAAAGTGGCAACATGCAACAGAGTGATGATATCGAGGAGCCTCGAGATATTCCATGCGAAGGAAAAATCATAATGGCTCGCGATCAATCAGAGTATCTTTTTAGTCCCGAGGGTCGGACCTTCCTGGCCGCCACCGCCAAACAGTGCCAGGTGAGCGTGCGCATGGACTTCAAGGACTACGGCTATGTCCTCGTGATCTATGGGTTGAAGGAACACCAGGAGGATCTGCAATTAAAATTGTTACGACGCCACCAGGAAGTGAAGCGTAAGAGCGTCGAGTTTCAGAGCCAGAAGCCGCCGAAGAGAATCGATGTGCTGATTCGCTTCTTGCGTGACGGAATCAACAGTCTGACTAGCAATCTTGGCAACGCCAAGAACCACTACATTCGCATCAAGGAATTGGAGGAAATGAACACTAAGAACGGCTTCAAAATGGCAGAAAAGAAGCGTCGCCAGTTGAACATGATCCTGGTGGGCCAAGCGGGTCTCGTCAACGGCAACACGCATCTGGATCAGTTGTTGGTCCTGTTGCGCCGCCTGGTAGACGATTTCTCGCCAGATGAGAACGCGACGCCTGAGCTGCGGAACGAGATCGAGGAGCATTGGCGCATGATCTTCACCTCATATCAGCATCCGAACTATGACTCGCTGATTAATAGCTACGGTCGTTTGGATCAGAAGAATCGTCTGCCTTCGCTGCACTTGGATCCCATTCTCCTGGGATTGCAGGCCAAGAAGGCGCCATCATCGCCGACTAAGCGTGCTCCTTCGCCGGCTAAACGTGCTCCATCACCGACTCCGCCACCTCCGCCAGCCTGGCGTATGGCGCCGCCGCCGCCACCGACTAAGATGCCAAAGAAGAAGCAACGGCAGGCTATGTTGCTGCAGCAGCAAACCCAGCAGCAGCAGCAGCTACAAAACATGATTAGGCAGCAACAAGATCAGCAGCAGTTGCAAAATATCATCCAGCAGCAGCAGAACAATCAACAACAGCAACGCTTGCAGCAGCAACAACGTCTGCAGCGTCAGCAGCACATGCTGCAACATATTGCGCAACAGCAGCAGAAACATCAGCAACGTCTGCAACAACAGCATAGACAGCAGCTACAGCAGCAGCAGCAGCAACACCAATTGAGACGACCACAATCCACACCTGTTATGCCCTTCAATAATCCCCAGCAACGGTCCCGCGCCGATCTGCAGCTCCGCCAGACCCTTAATCCAGAGTGCGTCAACCTGCTGGCCAAAATGGAACGCAACGATCAGGGCGGCAGCATTAACAAAGACGCCAACAAACCGTCCATGTTCTGGTCGCGCGAGTCGTTCAAGTACCTCGATGATCTGTTCAAGATGGCCTCAAACTCCGACACCGTGGAGCGCCTGAATCGGGTGCTCCAGCGATCGCAGCGTGGCCAGTTGTCGCACAACGATTACCGTGCTGTCATAAGGCTGCATACGCTTTTGCTCAACTGAGGAGCGAGCCCACCGGGGTCTGGGATTTGGGGTTTTCTTGGGGGGAACACTTTCATTTTGTTTAACAAATGCCAACAACAGATTTCACATCATTGGGTATCTGAAAGATATTACCCATATACCGAATAAATACATTACTGACTATTTTCGCAATTATATAAAGTTTTCTTTATGGATTGGAAAATTATACAATTATTCTTAAGGAAATATTTTAACAACTATAGTAAATATTCATTAATATTTACGACAGCCTCAAAAAGTAGGCTTTATTGATAATGCAATTTTCTAAAAGATGACTTAACACTTGGAAAGCTTTTGCTGAACCCAACTCTATGATCAAAGTACAACGATCGAAATTAAGAATTATTGTCTTAGGGATTATCCAATAACAGCTGGATAAATGTGTGCATTGTGAAGCCCGATTGGTTTGATAAAAAATTAGTTTATTTTATTAGAGCTGGTTAAATGTTGACATTGGGTGAATCTATCTGTTTGCCAAAGAAGTGTGACCAATTTTTATTTCTTTAGTTTTATTCGATTTCAAAATCTTAATGGACTTTTCAAAATTTGATTAATTTTCGTGGGATTACAAATTTTAAATGTGATTTATATCTAAAATAACTTCAGATTCTATTTATTTAATTATTTCGATTTTATTTATTCCCATTACTCTTAAAGTTTTGCCTTCATGGAATATATATTAAATATCGCTTATCCATGAGGCTAAAAAGCGGCCTAGAGGCTTTTGAAGTCGGCTACGTGGGATCGACGACTGCTAATTATTTGAATTGCATCTTCATCTTTGTGTATTTTTTGCTTAAGTATTGTTCATATTTTGGCACAAATTTGGGTGTTTAATCAAATGTTTTATTCTATTCGTGAAATTGTTGTTTGCCCGCACGTGGAAGAGTCTCTTCGCTTTCTACATTAGTTAAATAAAGTAAATAACCTTCATTGCAGGCGCTATTTCGTTCTAGTACCCAGTGTCGTTTTGCATTAGGGGTTTATTATATTAATATCTTAATAAACTAGCAATTTAAAAACTCAATCTCGGAATCTATAAAAGCGGGTTCCAATATATATGTATATGATATAGATTCATATAGATTACAGACAGAACAAGAGTTCTCGCTTGCTTAAATAATGCATTAAAAGTTTAAAGAAGTAGTTTTTATTTAGTATTCTTCGGTCGGGAGTCTCGACAAAATGCGAGTTGTTTATTTTAATTTAATTTTTTTTTTTATTAAAGGAGCAAACAGTTGTGACAATTTGTCTAAATATATTCTAACTAAAAAATCTAGAAATGATGATATCAAAAATCCTTTCATCAAGAATTTGGCATCTTAATTAATAGGATTAATTTTTTTTGTATTCTAACTAAACTTCAATGAGGAACTTGCGTTCCGGCGACAATGCATTCTTCGAGCTGGTGAACCACATAAATCTCTGCCAGATATCGGCGAACGTTAGTTTATTCCGCTTGCTGTAGACATTTAGATAGATGCCCAGGACGACGATGAGACCAGACCAAAGGTACTGCATGGTGAAGGGCTTGCTGAAGAGGATGAAGGAGAAGGCAATGGTCACCGCCTTGCGAGCGGTGGTCACTGTGGCCGCTATGGGAGCCCCACTGCTCCGAACCAGAGCAAGGACGAACTGAATGCCCAAATACCCAGAGAGGCTGAACAGGAAGCCATAGCCAAAGGTCTGCAGCGGATGCTCCAGGCAGAAGGCGAGTCCTCTGAAGAAGTGACCGGTTACCAACATTATAACGAAGAGGTAGACGAAACCCAAGCCGTACGAATAGAAGACCACCTCGCTGCTGGGCGCCTTGTGCTCCCGCATGGCCTTCTCCTGGACATTTCCGATGGCGGCATCGCAGAGCAAGGCACCCGAGATCATGGCCACGCCCAGCAAATTGAAGTTCGGTGTCATCTGGGAGTCCGCGAGCGTGAACCATGCTAGTCCGATGCACATACAGGTGGCTGCCGCAAAGTCCAGGACTCCGTAGCGCTTCTTCTGGATGAGGATGCTGCCCACCAGCACAGGGATGAGCTTGCAGCACTTGAAGATCACTTGCGTGGGGTAGTTCAAGTAGCCCAAACTGGAGTTGGACAGACCCATGGTGCCCAAGGTGAGAGCAGCCAGCACCAGGTATGTGCTAATGGGTATGCAACGGGCTACAGGTTTGCTCCTCCATAAAGATCCTCCGCTCTTCCGGCGACCCTCCAAGTGTCGCTCCACCAGGCCGAAGCAAATGTAGTATCCGAACTGGATGAGAGTGAGGAACCAGCCGTACGGTTTGAATCCCTCCACAGTGAAGATCAGCTCCTGCAGGTAGCCGTAGAGAATATACAGGACGAAGACACCGACACAACTCAACAGGAACTGCGTTGGTCGGTTAAAGGAGCCAAGGTCAAAGCACAGGATACGCAGCTCCTTCGGTGAGGAACTTCCGACAGACTCAGCCATTCTTTAGTTAATTATCACAATTTATAATATAATATTATAAACTAAATTATTATAATTATTGTAATAATAAGTATGTGATCGAATGCGAAGATTAAGTTATCATGCCGCTCTTCAGTTGATACATCAATTCCCTGTCGCAGCTGAGCTTCAATTAAATCGAGAGAGAGAGAGACTGCCAAATTAATATACTTCTATATACTCCACTTTTGTTTACCCCCAATTTGCCAACATATGTATTATATGTAAGCCGACTGATAAAAATCCCCTTGCATTTAGAGATCAACCAAAAAAATTGTGGATTTGTTTGTGTTTTTCTTTCTACAAAAAGACTACGCGAGTCGCTGTTAGGCAAACACACGCGCCTTCCAAATCAATTGCTGCTGTATACAAGAGCAGATTTTAGCTTTATTTGAAAAACAAATGATTCTGGGCTTTTGTTCTGGGATGTTATTTTCTCCGACAAGAGAAAGGACAGGGAGAAATGGGGGGGGGGTAGGTCTTGTCTGATATGTCGAGAATAGCAACATATGTAGAGAGAACCCAAGACTGTTTTGATTTACAAATCTTTTCAAGATTAAAATAATATTATATCATCATAATGTTGTATTAATTTTAGTGCTTCAATTTTTAACATCTTAAAAAATCGATGAGTAAAGATCGCCAAATCGAAATCTCCCAGACAGCTTTAGTTTGAATAAATAACTCCCCAATTTATACTTTGCCATAACGTGCTACTTATTTATTATAAACTCAGGAAAGTTCACTACAAATTATAAAACAAAAATATATCGCTCGTTATTCCATAGTTTTGGATTGATCAAATCCTTTATAGTTTTCCCAAGGCTGTTGTATTACGAGATAGATTGAGTAAGAATAGTCCTTTGTCAGTTCTAAGCTGCTGTGGTATGCTGCTGCTCCTGGGTCGTGGTTGACTGCGCCGAGGAGGCTTCGCCGGACTTCTCGTTGACGCCCAGCCAGGGGCACCGTTTCTGCAGCTCCATACGGTATCTCGGATGTGAAATGGCGTACACGAAAGGATCTATGCAAGCCACCAGCTTGCAGGTGCAGGCCGGGATCATGGTGGCTCCCGGAGTCAGTAGGCTCTTATCTCCGAATGCTCCAATCAGCGACATCACACCATACGGTGTCCAGGATACAAAGAACAAGAAGCAGATGGTGATGGCCGCCTTGGCTATGCGGATCTCTGCAGTCTCCTTGCTCTTGTCCACGTTAGAGCGCAGCGACTCCACGTTCATCTTCTTGGCCTGCTCTCTCAGAGCCTTCTCGTGGCTGAAGACGTGGCCCACGATCTGTGAGTAGTAGTACAGGATCATTAGAGTGGGACACACAAAGCTAAAGAAGAAGATCGTGCCCACAAAGAGGCGAGTGTCGAAGTTGTCCGAGAGATAGTCAAACGAGCAAGAGGTGAGATAGCCCTCTGGAAAGATAGAAAAGTAAAAAGGATGGGATTATTCCGGCTGAACGGTAATAAGAAGAAGCGAATAGTTAGTTAAATTGCTGTTACCTATTACATTTTATCAGAATTAAATGTGCCCCCCTCAATAACTACATTTTCAAATTATACATTTGCCGCTAAGTTTCAAGGAAAGCCTTACCCAGCCCTTTTAATAGGACTGCCAGACGTTTGCAGAACTGGTGCTGCCAGACTCTGGAAATCATAGTGTTGCCAACGCGTGTTTCTGCAGACCCGCAGCATTGTGGCCTGTATACGGTTACACTACACCGACATTTTTAGGAATTAAGCATCGATACTATCGATTTTTAAAGCCTTGCACATATTTTATATAAATTATTTTTAACATTTTATTTGTTTTTTATTAGTTATCTTAATATTAAAAAAACAAAAAAATTAATTGAATCGTAAAAAATCATATCATCATTATAAAATAATTAGAAAACTGATAACTAAGATCATTTCTTATGAAGGTCTTAAGGATTATTAAAAATTTATTTATTTTTATTAATAAACATTAGCTCTTAACTAGTACAGGTTAAGGCCTGCGGTCAGATAAAATTTGACCATTTTCATTAATATGTATGATAATATATAATATAATTAAATACCAAAAAACCTGCACTTTGACTTTTCTCTTAATAGTGACAGCACAGAAACATCGATGGTCAAAAAAACATCGATGATTTAGAAAATTTGAAAAGCATCGATGCATCGATGTTTTTATCGAAGTTTTGCCAGAACTAAACGACGCTGACAGAAGAAACACTTAGTAAATTAATTAATTAACCGTCTACAAAATGCAGTCAAAAGCCCTAAGACATGTTTATAATGCCGAAAAAGACTGAACCACACATCGTGCAAGTGCAAGTGCAATAAAAATTAGGCTCGGTAATGAAAGAATGCAATATAGAAGAGTAGGAAATACACACGAAAAAACCCCAGCGCTCGCTGTTGTGTGTAAATGCAAATGATATATTTTCGTGCAACAACAAGCACAACAACAAAAACACACTAGCAGCAGTGGCGGCGGCAGCGCAGCAAAAAAAAGGAACAACAACAAAAATAACAAACGAATATGAATGTGTGCGCGTTAAAGAAAAATTAGATAAAAAGCCAAATGAAATTAGCTCACGCCTGAATTTCGAGTTTGGCGCAAGGTGAACGAAAAGGCGAAAAGCAATCAAAACAGTTTCCATTATCGCAGTGTGCGTGTGCAGTTTTCCTCCTCGGTCTGCACCGCGTCCCGTCCCCGCCCCACTAGGAGGAAAACCACCTGCATTGATTTACAGTGTAAAATACGGATAAAAAACGGAACTTGCACTGCGAGGATATATATATATACATATATATACGCACACACACCAGCGGAAGCACAGGCAAGGCACCAATACCAGAGCCAGATTTCTCGAAGGCAGCAGCCTGCCATGTAAGTTTACATTGACGATTATGTATTTGCCGTTGTTTATGTTGCACTCTTGTTGTTGCACTTATGTATGTAGTTGCTTTGCTGCCAGCCAGGCAGCTACTTTAACGACGGCTTAAAAAAGAGCATTTCGCTCTGGTCGGCAACTAACTGCTTACCAACTTACGTTTTCTATTTTATATTTCGCAACTCATTGAATGAAAAAAGCCAAGTTAATTATATTCATGGCTATGACTTTAGTGGCAGCAATTACCATTTTTACCCCGTATGAATGTTGCCTACGGTACGCAGCGTAAACGAACTGTTAATTACATACAGATGTATCTGTGTGTTTTATATACGTTGGCTGTCGCTGTGTGCGTGTGTAGTATCTACGTTGTTGTTAGTGCCCGCCGCCCTCAACTCCTCCTGCTACCCATCCCATGAATTCCCCGTTGCATCGGTTACGTTACGCGCATTTCATTGCGTGTCCCCATGTTTATGCGTTCTTACGCTTATGCGGGTGAAGTTACGAAGTTGCTTTTTCATTAATTTGCCACCTAAATGTAATTTTGCTTGTAGTAAAGAAAAGTGCTGATATTTTAACACTATCTGAAAGATACTTTAATAATTTATACATCAGTAGTTTTAAAAATCGGGTAATTCACTTGACAGTTAATTTATCCTTTTCACATTAGTATTGTGTTTATTTTTACATTATTATTATTATTTATTTTTTCAAATTTACTGTGATTCAACTTGTTTTTCATTTTGTTGTCTAAGAAATCTTTAAGCCGGAGTTGGACAACTAAACTAAATCAAGATAAACTAAAGGTTTGAAGATAATATTAATTATTGTGTATTCTTAAAATTTGCTTATAAAGTATATTTAAAAATGTGTCTTTTAGTAGCTGACCTGACTTTAAAGATCAGTTTTGCAATCATGAAATCTATATTTTAACGCTGGGATTGATTTTTAAAATGTTTTATTAAATAATTTCTTATCAATTTAAAGAAAATAATAACTGGTGAATTCATTAGACTTGAGAGGAAAGTTTGTTAAGAAACATGCTCATAAAAGTTATTAAGGCGGAACATGTATGCTTTTTTTGTTTTTATTACCAACATAACCCACTTATTGTTATAGCTCGTTTTGAAGATCCTTTATTTAAGAAATAATTCGTTTCTTACTGAGGTTCACTCATATACCCGTGCCAGCACCCGCACCCGCACCCAATACCCCATATATATTCATGTGTGCCCATTGTGTCCAGCGATGTGAACCACACCCATTACATCTAGCACGACACCCCCACAGTCGCACAGTCCCTCCAATGGGTCGTCGTCCCTAATGGCCGTCCGTCAGCTCTGCCTGATAAGAGCCAACATATTTGCGTCGTTCCACACGTGCCGGCCAAGAGGCCTTTGCTTTTCGGGCCTTCATTTCGGCCGGAGACGTGACGGCGGCCCCGGGTTACGGGCTTACAGCTCTGGTTTTTTTTACTTCAACTCTAGGTTCGATACGTTCCGCCTTAAATAATTGCCTAAATGCAATTCCCCATACAAGCAAATGCGTGAGTTTTCTTTTTGCTTTTGTATATAAGTATATTTTTGGTAACGACAACAATTGTGAGTCCAAAGCAAGGTGAAGGTCAGAGGTGATTAATCGCTGTGACTTTTCCAAAAAGCCGCAAGGAATGCCGCCAACGTAGCCAGGTAGAATTGAATAATATCTTTGTTTTGTTTTCCTTAACTACGCACAACAAATGACGAATAAATGTAACAACACTCTGTGTATAAATTGTGAATCACTTAGCTTCTTTGATAAAGCTTTGATCACTTGTACTATGTATATCATATTGATAACGCTGAACTATTACAATTAAAATGAAGTAGACAAGAGTAGATTGAAGTTTTAAAATATAATAAAAAGGAAGCCTACGTTTTTTTTTATAAAAATTAACTTAGCAGCTTTTGGTATTCGTATATATTTCCTATAGCAATTCCCGAGTCTAGATCGAAAAATGATTCGTGTGGAAAGAATTTATAACTTTTTTTATACTGCATTCACCTTTGCCATTATCTATTAAAAATGAAATTTGCTTTGCAGATAAACGCACAAGAAACGCCCAGGCCAAAGGTGAACCTGGCGGACATTGCAGGTACCAAGGAGAATTGTAGACACATTCGTGCCGTCACAAGAACCCTTCCGATGTCCAATAAAATTAACCCGAAGCGCCGCGAACCGACAGCAGCAGCAGGAGCAGCCACGGGAGTGGCCACCAATACGAACAGCTCGACTGGATCCTCCAGTGCCGGCAACACGTCTTCGGCCAACACATCCTCATCGTCCAGCTCGTCGCTGTCGTCCGCCGGCGGCGGTGATGCGGGCATGTCCGCCGATCTGACCTCGCTGTTCGAATGCCCCGTGTGCTTTGACTATGTACTGCCCCCGATCCTGCAGTGCTCCAGCGGGCATTTGGTGTGTGTCTCCTGCCGCTCCAAGCTCACCTGCTGCCCCACATGCCGCGGTCCGCTGGCGAATATCCGTAATTTGGCGATGGAGAAGGTGGCCTCGAACGTCAAGTTCCCGTGTAAGCACTCCGGCTATGGATGCACCGCCTCGCTGGTCTACACGGAGAAGACGGAGCACGAGGAGACGTGCGAGTGCAGGCCCTACCTGTGTCCTTGTCCGGGCGCCAGCTGCAAGTGGCAAGGCCCACTGGACCTAGTCATGCAGCATCTAATGATGTCGCACAAGAGCATCACGACGTTGCAGGGCGAGGACATTGTGTTCCTGGCCACCGACATCAACCTGCCCGGCGCCGTCGACTGGGTGATGATGCAGTCCTGCTTCGGCCACCACTTTATGCTGGTTCTGGAGAAGCAGGAGAAGTATGATGGCCACCAGCAGTTTTTTGCCATCGTTCAGCTAATTGGGTCGCGAAAGGAGGCCGAGAACTTTGTGTACCGCCTGGAGCTGAACGGAAACCGGCGCCGGCTTACCTGGGAGGCCATGCCGCGTTCAATCCACGAGGGTGTGGCTTCGGCGATTCACAACTCGGACTGTCTAGTGTTCGACACGTCGATTGCGCAGCTATTTGCCGATAATGGTAATCTGGGCATCAATGTGACCATATCGCTGGTCTAAACGCACTGTCAATTCGCCGAGTTTTTCATTAATTTTTTTCTATATATACATATTTATTTATATATGTATGTATTTATATATATGCATATTTATTTATATATGTATATATTTATATATATATATACATATAAGTTATAGCCCTCTGTTCGCATCAGGCGTTTTGCTCTTTAGAAGAATGTGAGAAGTGGCGAGGGAAAAGGCGAGAAGAGGACAGAACAGAAGGAGAGAGAGTTGTGCAGAGTTGTTTTATAAAAATGATTCTCCATTTAAATAGCCACATACACCATGCATATGTATATATATCTATGAAAATGTCAGGCCTGTTCTGTTTTCTCTTCGTTCGAAATTGTGCAATTGTAACTCAAGCTTTGTTTACATTAGAACTAAACCTTAACAGGAATTTGTGCTAATTGTATGTATTTGATCACTTTGGTAATTTTTGAGAAGATAATTCTAGGATAAGTAAAACAAAGGCTGCAGTATCAGTCTAGGAAAAATATTAAATTTGCTATTCTCTACACAGATTTCGTGGGTTTAGTTCACAGTGCAATTTACGAACTTTTGAGTACATGAACAGGACCTGTATATTTTCTATGTCTAAACGGTTCGATTGGTACTCTAGTTGTAGGACTTGATTTTTTTAGCTACCATATACACCTACACAAACACTATATATATATTTCAATGTTTCAGTGTGTTTAATGTTTTTATAAGCCTTGTGGGGTTCATTTGCTTTAGTTTAATTTAGTTCTTAAGGGCCACACACACCTGGAGCAGAGCTGCCTGCGCGTGCCCACCCACTACAGTGAACACTCTGGACACACACTCCACTCCACTCCAAACCGAAACGAGCAACAAGAAACACGAGAACACTCATCACACTCGAACATGTCTCTAGTTTAGTTAATGTAAATTATTTTATACTATATTTGTAAATGTTAAGAAGTGAACGAATTAACAAACACAACACAAAACAATAATAGTGAAAACAGCAGCAGCAGCAGCAATGGCGAAACCATCAAAGATAAAGTAATACTTGATAGCGATAATCTGTAATAACTCGAGAGTTGTTTCGTTCAGGCCAAAACCATCTTCATAAAAATTATACAAAATAATACACACAAAAAGACAGTTAACCCTTGCCCCCTCACAATTTACCCCGAATCCCCGGAATAGTAACCGAAGCAATGTTAATGTTTAAATGTCCAACCTAGTTTAGGCGATCTCCCAGGCCCGGCTTATGTCTTTATTTTAATATCCCATTCGTTCGTTCGAAATAAACGGAAAACAAATGATTTAAAGCATCATCTGCACCGTAATTAGCTTTTAATGCGACGATTTATCGCGCCACTACCATACGAGATCACTTACACAGACACAAAACTACAAAAGTGAAATAAACGTGATTAGTAAAAGTAAGAAAAAATGTTGATTAATCTGGTAAATCGAAAGATGAAGTAATTATGATAAGTCGGTGAAAGCGAGGGTCGTATTGGATGTAGACAAACTCTCAATACATAGGGGTTTCAGAATATATATTGGGAAAAAGTAATTCATAATTTATCTTTAAGTATATGGATGGTATATGAAAAACAATGCTTTAACTTAGAACTTTGATAATTTCGTAATAAGTTGGCCAGGATTGTTCAGTTGTCTTTCAGCAGTTCGTCTTTATTTTTCAGCTCTGATTTCTTTTTAGTATAGCTTTTAACCAGAATAAAATTTAAAGTGTAAAAAAGAAGTCGAACAATTCAATATACCAATTCGATATCTCTTTTTATATGCTTAAATTCTGCATTTCTCTGTGCTTAAAAATTCAATTATTTACCTATGAACGTGTCTATGGAGAACCAACAAGATAGCGATGAAAATACCACGACCCCATCAAAATTCAGTAGTGTCCAGTGGCTTTCTAGGTCTGGATCCGAACAATCGACCACAACATGTCAGACAGCCGAAACGGAGCTAGAGGAGGGGGTTCCCAATGATTACCTGTACTCGTTGCTTGAGTGCCCCGTGTGCTTCGGCTACATGATGCCCCCCATAATGCAGTGTCACCGGGGTCACATGATCTGCCAGAGCTGCCGCCAAATGGTGACCCTCTGTCCTGTTTGCCGCGTGAACCTGACCACCATTCGCAACCTGGCCATGGAGAAGGTTGCCTCCAAACTGGTGTTCCCCTGCAAGTACTCGCACCTGGGCTGTCGAGCACGGCTCGCGTATGCGGAGAAGAGTAGTCACGAAGAGAGGTGCGAGTGCAGTCTGTACAAGTGTCCATATCCGGACGAGAAGTGTGTCTGGCAGGGACCGTTGGACGATGTATTCCAGCATTTACTCGTCAGTCACGAGAACATCATCACAATGGAGGGCACCGATATCATATTCCTGGCCACCAACGTGAACCTAGAGGGCGCTCTTGATTGGACCATGGTCCAAACCTGCTTTGGCCGGCATTTCCTGCTCTCCTTGGAGAAGGTCACAATGGGGGATGACTTTCAGCAGTTTATTGCCACCTGCCGTATTATCGGAACCGTGAGGGAAGCTGCCAATTTCGAGTACTATATCACTCTGGAGACCAATAAGAGAACCCTGCGCTGGAAGTCATCACCGAAATCAATTCGAGAGAGCATCACCTTCGTCGATTCGGATTTCCTTGTGCTCAACAAAGCAACTGTTCAACTGTTTGCGAAAGATGGCGACCTCGCTCTTAACGTGGTCATTAAAATGTTGAAAGAGGCCAGTGAACCGCCTACGGTATCCAATTCGTCCCTACCCCCAGCGTTTAGTCGCCTGCCACCCCATCGATGGGCATGACGATCGTCCTTTCCCCTAGTCCTAGCCATCTATACGGGCCACGTTCTCCATCAGCCCACACCAAGTCTGCAGTTCCAACTAAAAGCTGTCGTTCTTAAACGTATCCATAATAAATAGCATGTCATGTCATGGGATTTGTATAGTCAAAATGAAGGAAGAGTACATTTGGGAAGTTATAATCTACATAGACATTCTCAAGTCCTCTTTTCCAGTAGGTAGTTAGTAGAGAGAGAGAGTTAGCAGTTGTTAAACTATGATGTGTGCAATTAAGGAGACTTCGCAGGTCCCTTCCCAGATTAGAGTTCCGAATGAACCACTCAGCACCAGTAACTTATTTTGGAACACCCGGATTCGATCCAGGTTGGATTTGATACCTACTTTATAAACATGTCCTAACTGGGTCAAGTATGGTATTGTAATTTTAAACTCCTTTCGGACAGCCTTATATTGTTTTTAGTTTTAAAGAGCAAGTGTGAATTTCTAGTCTTTCCTTCCATATATTAAGATACATAAATGTATTATATATATTTCCTTTATATATTTAAACAACAAATCTCAGAGAGCTCAGAAAGCGAATGTAGAATTCTATGGTACTCATAATCTGTCAGTTCATATAAAGCACACGAACAACTTAATTTTCCGAGTAGTTTTCGAGATTTTCCTAAAACCAAAACAATGTGTTTTGTGGTAAATGTTTGCAAACGTTTTGCAAAAGAACAACCAAAGACGTTTGTGGCCATAACCCATCCCTATTGCGTTAGCCTGCTACTGGTGGGAACTGTCTTCTTTTTTCTGGCTGAGATGTTCTATGTAGTTCCCTTTATTTTCGACACCGGCGGAGGAATGTACAAACTCGCCTGGCTGGTTGCCATCTTCATTGTATCCAACATCCTGGGCAACGAGTTGGTCTGCTATCTGACGGATACTTCGGTGGCGAGTCTGCCAGAGGAGCGTCGGACCCCGAAGCCGGAGGAGGAGCACCTGTGGTCCTACTGCGACGAATGCAAAATGAAAGTGCCGGTAAGCTTCAAGAGAGATTCTTATATTTTTCATTTTCCATGATATCTTTGGATTGACTTGAGACATATCCTTATAGCCCAGAGCCTGGCACTGCAAATTGTGCAAGTGCTGTGCCTTACGGCGAGATCACCACTGCATTTTCACCGCCACTTGCATTGGTCACAACAACTACAGATATTTTTTCTGGCTTCAGTTTTACCTTGCTCTTGGCTCTGTTTTGTTCTTGGTAAGTTATCTACTGGCGGTTGCAGTTAACAAGGAATTCCGGAATCGATATGTACTTGTGTGGATAATTAAAAATGTTTGGAAAAGGGATTACGACATTCATGTTGCCAATTGGAATGAGTTCTTGTGGCAGAATTGGCTTCTAATGCTGAACACTTATGCTTTTACCTTTTCCCTTCTGATGTTGCCCTACCAACTGCCCATCTTCTATTTGAACACCACTTTCTATACGGGTTCAGATTGTCGGTACAACCTTGGGCTACGAAGGAACATCAAGCTTTTATTGGGACAGCGTGGTCTCTGGACTTTTATATCCCCTTGGATCAACAGCCCATTGCCCCACGATGGCACCCGTTGGGAGGAAGCGAAGCCTTTAGGCAATATTAATTCTTAAGAGGTATACAACCTTATCAAAATTACTTAACTCACCCCATTGTTAGGTATAAATAAACCACAAAATTCTATGGCTACGAGCTCTCTATTCTCACCTGGCACGAATCGATCCCAGAACTGTGTCAGCGGTAGGACAACCCATGGCGTGCAGTACAGCCAGATGATAATGTTCATTACCACCGCCTTTGTAAATGTCATGTTCCTGTTCATCGGCTTGGTGATAACATTGAAACGATCGTATCCAATGGCCGCGTTTGTCATCCCAGCTCCGATGCCCGAATAGGAGCCAATGGCTGCGAATAACTGGCACCAGGTATTTCCCAAAGCGAATCCCCGATGGAAGCTGTTGTAGATGAAGATCGGCGCCTTAAGGCACATGATCAGATCGAAGACGGCCAGATTCAGGACAAACATATTGGAGGGAGTACGAAGCGACTTTGATGTGCTGAAGATCCAAATCACCATGCCGTTGCCCACCGTCGAGGCGCAGAAGAGGAAGATGTAGAAGACGCCCAGCATGTAGTGCATGGAGGCGGGCGGCTCCAGCTGCGTCAGCCAGTGCTCCGGTATGTACTGGATCTGATCCGGTGGCACGTTCCAGCCGAGGAACTGCAGCTCTCCGCTACCGGAAGTTCGAGCCTCCGGCCGCAGCGGCGGTTCGCTGGCATTGCACAGCGGTTCCATCCCGAAACCGATACCGCTCTCGAGCTCGATCCCGATCCCGATACTCAACCCTTCTCACAGAGCGAGCTGAACTGATTGCATCTGCCGCGTGGCGACATTTATAACGCAGCCGCTACGTTGGCCAAATTCAATTAGACTTTGTGGTTGCGTGTCCGTAAAGACGATTTTCTGCACACTCGGCTATAACATATCATATCAGCGAATTGTCGCTCGATTCACAACCAAAAAGGGTTGGTTAAATACTTGGTAATGACGCTAAGACCTAAAATGTCAGGGACCAAGTTTAGGGTGTCATTTAAGTATTATTTAGTTCTTTGTTTGTGTTTGATAAACATCCTTTAACGTAAATATATTACAAAGTATTTGTAATTTGTTTAAGAACTAAATTATGATTTTCGTAAGTGGCCGTGTTTCCTTAACATATTTATAGCTCTAGATTTGTTCATGAATTTATAATAGTATAACTAGAATAATCTATAACCCTTTTTTTCCAAATGCATAGAAATGCTAATGGTTTGAGTAAAAACTTGTAATCAACAAAAATCCACTCATTTTTGCAATTAATCTTCCAATTAATTCGTAATATCTTTACCCAAATCCAAGGATATTCCAAAATAAATACTCACATGAAAAGCACCAAAAGTTCGTTATAATTTAAATTAACCCTAAACCTTTTCAGCGTTGCCATCTCGTGATATGGAACCTATCAGTGTTGCCAGACTGCGGTTAATGTTTGCGCTTCGCGGTGACTGTCGCACAAAACAGGTCACAAAAACATTCCTCCCAGTAAGATGCGAAAATAAACGGAAAAAAACAGAAACATGGACGAGGTGGACAAGATAATCATGCACCAGCTGCACCAGGTGGACCCGGCCATCGAACCGACGGAGGAACTGGCGGAATTCTCACCGGAACAGGTCGTCCGCGCGGTGTCCAGCTGCCTGGCCGAAATCCGTCCGGATGTGCAGCTTCCCCGGACTCTGCCCGGCGGGGCGATGGCTCAGCGTTTCGGTGTGGCAAGCTCCCTGGCCGAGGGATGCAAGGATGCCGGCTATAGGGGCGACATCGGTTACCAGACGTTCCTCTATCCCAACGCCGTCGAGCTGCGGCGTCTGCTCATGTTCCTGATCGAGCAGCTGCCACGGGAGCGCCAGGCGACAGACGACGGTGTCGGCAAGTCGCAGTCGCTAAGCCACAGGGAACTTCTGCAGCGGAAGATACGCAAGGAACTCGCCACGCAACTGAAGACGCCGTGGGTGCCACAGTTTGCCCGTTCGGTGGGCAACCGGAAATCGCTTGGCTGCAGCAGTTTGTGCATCGACTTTCGGCCGCATATCAATCTCAGCGTTCCGTCCGCAAATCCCGAGGAGCGCACAAAGGAGGTGCAGCAGTATTTCGACCAGTTGGCGCCCAATATATTCCAGCAGACGGCCTCCAGTTCGGTGGATCTCATTGCCTCCGTACTGCACAAAAACGAACTGGAGCGGTGGGGTACTGGACTCCCAGACTCGGCACACCTTTTCTCGGGCATTGAGGAGCTAACGCCGCCTCTTCTACCCAATGCCTCACAGCCCGTGGATAAATCTTCAACATCCGGCGCCGAGGAGGAGGTCTCGCCCCTGCAGCAACTCAGCGACGAGGTCCAAGAGCTGCGTACCCAGTGCGAAACCCTGCTTATGGAACGAAAAACTCATGCTGCGGCACTGGCTGCCTCGAAACTGCGGGAGAGTAAGGCCACCGAGGAGATCAGCCGCATTCAACCCGTACTAAAACTCAACGAACGCACTTCCCTGGTCCTAGCTGATTCTGAGCAGAATTTGAACAAGCTGGAGGCCCTACTGAAGAGTACCCAGGCCAAGAGAGAAACCCTCACGCAACAGTGGCAGGAGTACAGGAAACCTCTGTTGGAAACCCTAGAAACACTGAAGACAGCCACGGAGGCCCAACATGTCCAGGGCATCCGTAACAGCATCGAGCAATTGGAGCAGGAACTCCAAGCGAAGACCAAGCAGCACAACGAACTAAATGCCACCCTGAGAACCGCCAGTCAATCCCTGGCTCCTCGCAAGGAATACACCCGCAGGATACACGAATTTATAGGGAATATTCGGAAGCAGCGGGCCGATATCTTCAAAGTTCTGGATGACACCCGGCAGCTCCAGAAGCAACTGAACGTGGTGGGCGCCCAGTTGCAGCGGCAGTTCAACTACACCGACGATCTGCTCTTCCAGAGCGCCAAGCACGATCTGCACGCTAAGCGGGCGTACAAGCTGCTAGCCCAGCTCCATGCCAATTGCAGTGAGCTGGTCGAGTGCGTTTCGCTCACCGGCAACGTGACCAAGCAGATCCGCGAGCTGGAGGTCCAAATTGACGGCGAGAAGCTAAAGAACGTTCTGACGAGTCTGCAGCAGATCACTGGCGATATCCAAAAGTTCGAGCAGCACATCCAGGAGCTGCAGGGACAGATAAGCGCTGTGGAGTAGACCAAAAATGGCGGAGTTGTATACTCAGTAGACATTCGTGTACTGGTGCCAATAATTTTAATAAAGGAATCGAAGCACGCTTAGCGTTTATTTAGTAGTCGAAAAATAATTTTGTTTTGGATCGGCGAAGCAGATATAATTTATATTTTATATTATATTTAATTCATAAATTATTAGTATACCTACAGTGTATTAATTAGGTATTCAAACAAAAAATAAAATCGAATTTTCTAATTTGAAATTCCCGCTCGTTTCTTCTTGTTATCGATCAAATACTTTTATGCTCCAAAAATGGTTATAAATAACAGAAATATATAGTTTATTCAATTTAAAATAAATGTAAATAAATTGATATACATAAAATGGATTTATGGTTAATTTCACATATATACTTTATTTAATTTTTTCTAAAAGACTATTGTTCCGCCATTATACATCGATATTTCTCTACAACTAGAAAGGGTTCCCAACTATTGTAAGCAGGAACAGTCACCGACATACTTTCTCATACTTTTACAACCGTGTAAAACGGTTATCTAGACGTGTAAGATGTAAAATTTAAAAAAAACAGCAAGTTCTTCAAAACAATGATATCAAAGAAATATATCGCAACATCGATATAAATATATCGATATATTGATATTTTGATAATTTTCAACAACCCTAAAAGTTACTCTATGTTTTGAAGCTGAAGCCAAAAGCTCGTCGGCGGCTGTTGTGGCGGGTCCCGTGTTTTTCCTTTTTCCGTTGATTTACGTTCGTTTGTTTTTAATTTGGCCGGTAGTGACAGATAATAAAAAAGTCGCTGAAACTGAAACAACTCGAGTGTGTGAGTGTGTGCATAAGATTGCATTTTGTATCCAAAATAACATACAACAACTATACAAGAGTGTTTCAAAATAAAACACTTGAATGCCACCGCCGCAATGGTGGTGCTCCCCTTGTTGTTGTTGTTTTTGCTATTCCAGAACTCGTTTTAGAGTTTTCAGTGTGCGTGTTTTTGTTGTAATTTTAGGTTCTTGCATGCGGCCGATAACAAGTTTAACCGGTGTGCGTGTGAGCCGCGCTTAAACGCGTGTGTGTCGGTGTGTGCGCGCTCTTGGGTGTCCGAGTGTGCGTGCGACTCCTTCAACAAACTGTTGCTTCTTCTGCTGTCGCTGCTTCTTCTTCTTGCTCAAATTGAATTCCAATTAGAACTGCAATTCCCCTGAAGGTCGAGTTGGGAAAGAAAAAAGAAGAGAAAGAAGAAGCTGAAGAAACGATAATGAAAAACCGGCAGATAAAGTATCAGGAATTATTAAATCGCTAAGCAAGAGAGAAAAAACCCTATTAATTGACCGGCCGGCTTGGCGCTCTCTTCGTTTTTTTTTTTTCAATTCGGGGTCAATCAACGTTCCACAACAACAACATAAACGGCTAGAAATTCTTTGAGGGAACGTTCCGGTTCACCTTTTTTTTATAATTGTGACGTCGCCTGGCTAAAAATAACAAAATGACAACATTCTTTCGTTGTCTCATTAGCGTTTTTTGAATTTGTAACAGTAATTGGAAATCGATTAACCAATACAGTAAATATCGGTTGCAAAGCGAACAAACACCCACGACTCTTAGTAAACAGTTTTGCATATCTCAGATATCTAATAAATTTCAATTAGAGCAGAGCAAATATGGGCCTTAAATCTTTAAAAGTAGTTTCGTGTTCGATCCGGTTTTAGACCTTGGATTACAACTTGATTTAATACACATACATAGATTATATATTAAAATCAATTAAAACATTCTGGATTTTAATATTCATAAAAATAACTTCAAAAAATATTCTTCAAGATTTTTATACAATTATCAACCTCACTATTTTAATTAGTTTATTTAAAATTAGTACCTCATAAGAGAAGATTAAATGTAACTATTAAATTTAATATTTGTATGTTCAACATGCTAACAAATTAATTAATAATAACAAATTTAATAAGTTACATGCTAAAGTTTGGCCCTTACCAATACCCACTGTCCACTACTACCAACGCCTCGACCCGGCCGGCAATTAATAAAAGGCAAAAACAATTGCCAAGTGGAGTGGCAAAAACAGTTTCACGTTAGCGACATTTTTCAACGGCTACGCAATAATTTGTTTATAGACTGCAAAAAAAAACAAAGCAAAACAAAACAGAATTGGCAACAAAAAAGAAAAGAAAAACGCCGACTGATAAAATGTTGTTATAAATTAAATTTACCCCATAGCACGCAAGGGCAATCTAAATCGAAAGAAAATAAAGTGCAACCGAAAGCAATACGAAAAGAAGTCGCCAGTGAGTTTTATAATTAGAACAAGCCAACAGCCAGCAAGTGCAATTCATAAACGATAACACCAAGGGAGAGATAATTGTTAATAATAATGACACCATCACCGACCAAGGAGCTCCAGAGTGCCTCACCGACGATTTCGCGTCGTCCGCGGGAGGAGTTTGCTGAAAAGGTAAGTCTGAAGATATAACTATAGCTATATATTTTATTTATTAACTTTCAATTCGAAATTGGTTCCTAGTAGAGGAAATGTAATGTTCATTGACAATAATAAACTAGAAAATAAAGAGAAATGGGGATATTAGTAAATAAACTTGTTGAAATGTATGATTTTTATCAAAATCTGATTTGCAAACGATTAAAAAGTATACAAAATATAAAAAATGCACTTAGTAATCATGGAATCATACATGTATCATAAATCTCTCTTTCACGAAATAGTTTATAATAAAACCTTAATTCTAGAACAGGTTTATATATTTTCCTGCTCCGAAAAAGTTTTTAAGAAAGGAAGGTTCATTTAACGCGAAAAACTGGACAATTGTAAACTAGAAAGTAGTATAAAGTTGTGGAAATAGTTAACAAACTTCCTAAAAAGTAACGATTTTAACCAAATCAGATTCCCCAATAATTGAAAAGTATTTAAAAATTCCAAAGGTATCATAGAATTTACATCTTTTATATATTTTACCTCCCCAAAATGATGTATATTATAAACCTTAATTCCGGAATCAGTTTATAGTCTTCGTTTTTTCATTAAAATTATACCATATACTGTGTCCTCTTTAGTGCACTTTTTCCCCTGAACATGTACTATATAGATATATTCCAATCCCGATTTAACAACCTCCCGCCCAGATGATATTGGCTAAACTTCCTGTGTTTCTATTAATCGACCCCAAATGTGTTGCGATGCCGTCGGGGGAAAAAAAACATAAACATTTTCTCGGCCTTTCGCCTTAAAGTTCTCCTTTTGTTTGTTTTTGCATTGTACAATAAAATATATGTATGTACTCTTGATCCCCGTATAAACGTATATACGCACATCAATGTTTGGGAAAATAAATATTGCTGTCATCGGCTGTCTTCTGCTGGACGGACCTCTGTCGTAATCGTTTCACCTGAGTTTCCATATATTATGATTTCCGTTACTCCATCAACCTGAAATACACTTTGTTTCCGTCTCGATCGCTGTTTCTGCATCTATTCTCGACTCTGACTAATCGAATTGAATCGAATCGGTGGCCATGGCCTACGTAACGCTCGAATTTCATTGATAAGATATCGGTTTGGCAAGTCGTAATCGGTGTACTTTAAATGGGCGAAAAAGTCAGTGCAGAGATTATTATTTTTTATTATTTGGGAAGTTTTAGTGGGAAAGTTAGCATCGGAATTGTTTAAATTATTAACTTGCTGTTCAAATTCAAAGGTTTAATGTTTACCATAAATTTTTGCATGAATATCGAACTTGTCTAAAATAAGAGATCATTGAAATTAAGGTCTTGCCAATACTTTTGATATCACCGACAGTACTTGTTGTTGTTTTTCCCCATCCCCCATTAATTCGCATTTGGGCTTACGTCACTTGAGCCACTTGAAATACAAAAAAAAAGTAAAACATACACAAAATGTGAAATAAAAACACTTGTTGCAGTAACAAAATTCGAATTTGAAATTCATCGTTCAAGCTTAATGAGAGGTCAATGCTGCTGCTGGGGAGAGCGCCTCATTACGGCGGGAAAACTGGATTTTCAGACAGATCATTAGCATTTCCATGGAGCGTGATGGATACAGGTACTAATAGAAGTTGAACAGTTACAGATTCATATGCAAATCGCATTATTTATGGCTTGTATTGGGACAACGCCCAAGAATGTATATTCTTATGGAGATGTCAAGCGAGCGAGTGGCAATTTAAGATGGTTTCTTTTCTTATATGTTACTTTTACTTTACTTTCTTGGCTGCTCAATTTCGGTCAATTGATTGATTCGCCACAGTCGGCAACAAGTTTGGTGTAGGATCAATCAATTTGCTGCACACGCCGTGATTTTATTTCATACGTTTTTTATTTTATTTTTTCGAGGGTACCTGTGCGGGAGTATTATGTACGATTTTGTATCTCGCCTGTCAACGAATGTCACTCAAGCGTTCCATGCAACGAATTTCATGGCATTGACCATGGGCCCCAATAACGAATAACTTTTTGTGTGTGTTTTTTTTGCTGTTTCATTGGCTCGCCTTAAAAAAAGTCGGTTGCTTGGTGGCGTGCTAACAGCTAATTTTGAATATTCTGCATATGTCTTTTGCACATTAAACACAGAATACACACACAGAAAAAATGGGGGAGCGAAAATGGGAGCAGAAATTGTGTTGTGAGAGCCACAAAAAGAACGACATGCCGTGCGAAATCTGATGCAATCGATGAGATCATCGTCCAGAGAGCCCACCAACAAACCGGCAAGATTCTCCATCCGTATCCGAATCGGAGCCAAAGCTCCATTAATAAGCCGTGCCATAATTATAATTATTGAAGCCAGCATAATCTCTTCATTAGCTGGAAAAGCTCTCTGTCGATTTTAGAGGCTTGGCTACTAGTATTTCTTCTTAAAAGGAGCTAAATCCTATATAATCTCTTCTTTAACTTGAAAATTTCCTCTGTTTTCTGTGACTCATCTGGTGGATTCCTTGGTGCATCATCATCGCCCTCCTTTATATTCCTGTTTTTGATGCTCTGGTTCTTTGTGTGTCCCCGCACTTTGTTGCAGCTGACTTTCCATTTCCGTACACTACAAGAAACACTTCCAAAATGTTAATTAATT